ATTTTACCTAAGTAATGACATAAAATATTATATTATATTTTGTATTTTTTTTTTAATAATTGCAACAAGTTATGTCATGCAAACAGATAATAGTTCAATGGTAGCCAAATAGGAACAATTTCAATTAACAACTCGCAACACATTTTACTATGTATAGTAAAATTTATTACTTCTCTCTTGAATTTCGGATAAAAGTACTTAACTTGATTGCACTTTAATATACGACCGACAGTCACTTAAGTTTTTCTCATTGGCAAAATAAGCTTTCGCGTCCTAAACATAAGACCGGGTTGGATTGATTAAATGTGTTTTGATGTGCCACTGTTTGATTTCCGCTTTTCCTTAATATTTAATCAACACACTTTCTTCTTATTAAAAACGGTTGTCAATCATTTTGTAAAGTTTATAAGACAAGAGATGTATTCTGACTTAGGACAGGTTAACGGTTTCAGGTTTGGCATTACTTAAACTAAGTCTGAATCCAAACTGTTTTGGACTCAGAATATTAAGCAGGGTTTTTTTTTTTTAAATAAAGCTACAATGTATTTTGTTACTTCTATTGGGTAACATAAAAAAGCATAGTTATCACGTTTCGTTTCCTATAATAAGATTCTGCAAACACATTTGAAAAAAAACAAATATTTTAAATATAATTAGCTCATTTTTAAATGAGTGGGTAAACTTTCTGTTTTATTCTAAACGAAAAATGTATCTATTAAACTGATAAATATAAAGAAATACCTAAAGATAATATTTTTTTTGTTCGGCTGCTTTTATTTTTAAAAACTACACAACAGCAATCAAAAAAATTTCAACAAAAGCTTTTTTAAATTATAAGGAAAAATCAATATAAAAACATTTTGTTCTTTGCCAAATTGTTCATTATAATTTCGTTGAAATCGACAAATTTTAATGCATTATTTTCTGAACTAATTTGTATAAAATAAAAAGACTAATTTTTAATGTGATCGACATAAAAAACGATTATCAAATGGAGCGCTTTGCTATTGTGGTGGTTAAATATAATATGTTTGGAAAGGTAACTTATAATTTTTTTTTTCAATCCATTCTAAAAATGTATATACATATATTAAATTATTTTCCCAACTCATGGAGAAAATATTTGAACATTTTTAATTTAGAATATTTGAGTATTGGTTGGTGGGTCCCGATATTGTATGAGGCCCAGAGATGCACTCTTTCGCCCATCTAAATCCAAATCTGAATAAAATAAATAGCTTTGGCAACCAACAGGAATTCAATGTACACCCACAGACACACCTAAGGCTAACAAATTGGAGTGGTCAAGACACACAAACCCATAGGTCAAAACACCTTAATAATTTAGTCAGCTATTTAATTATATTTCAGCACGGTTACTTGAATGTTGTACCAGTGTTAGATTTGTGTTATTAATTAATAATCTGTAACAATGACGCGGTGCGCCATAAATAAATCATACATACCTAAACCTTAATGAAACAATTCTAAAACTTTCCAATTAGTATCTCGCTTCAGATAGGACCCTTTGCAGACTTCAAGTTCGCGAAATACCTTAAATGCGGCATAAATGACATTGTCAAAGCAGCTATCAGGAAAACACTGTATATATATATACAATCAAACAGTTATATATTATTAGAATTGAAACAATTTATTAAGTCAGCATAGCGTGCCTGGGTACGTACTAGCTATATAATAGCAAGCGCATTTCCTAAATTCAGCTATTTTAATGCCTGAACGGGCGGGCGGATTGTCTCAAAATTATTTGACCTATTTTTGGCTTCGATGCAAAGCAGAGAAGGTATTGGTTTTACTATGATGTGGGCTTTTTTTATCTGTATACTCTGTAACTTTTTTAACACTGGACCAATTCCTTCGAGTAGCAACTCTATAAATCACAAATTTCATCTAGTTGGTACTTTGGGAAGGGGGGGGGGATAAAAGTTGAAAAAGTTTACTTCTCGACAGTTAAAATTTGAAAAAAACCATAAGAGTTTTAAAATTGAAGTAATAGAAGTTATGCTTGAAGTAATTGTCTGTTAATTTTAAACAAAAATTGCACAAACGAATACACACTGACCTACAAATGACGTGTGCTGAATTTGGTGTGGGCTATTTAATATTATTCTGTTTTTATCATCTACTATCAAAATTTATTAAAAAAAAAAAAACAGGTATTTTTAATTATTTCACAAACTTGTGTGTAAACTAAATTAGTTAACTAAATGTTAAATAATTTTTAGCAAGTTATTAAAAAAAAAAATCATAATTTTATGTCATATTATATTAATAGAGTATTTGTAACAAAACATTATTACTGTAACTGTGGTTCAAGGCTTTTTGTATTTGTTTTTTTTTAAACCTTTTGCGTGGAACATTAACTATACCTATGTATGTGTGGTATTTGAACAATTTGATAATAATGTTTATTTAGTATTAATATTAACAAGTACCAACAACTACCTTTACTTTTCGAGTACTGCTTGTTTGCGTTACAATTACATACAAATTATCACACATGTTTGGATTGGTATAGGTAAACAAATATTTAAATTCGTAATTCTATTATATTTTGTAATAAACAATTTCATTACTACTCTGACGTTGAATATATTGTATTAAAAAATGTATCCTATCCTCTTTAAACGGTTATATTGGAATATTTTTATTTTTGGAAAACGACTTAAAGATTTCAAGGAAATTGACTCATCTACTATGGGAAAAATCGTCGACAATGTGAAATAGTTGAAAAACGTCCAATTTGTCAAAAAACGGTTTTTCTATCAGATTATTTACCCGTTTAGTTTAATAATTCTATTTATTGTTTTTCACAATTCTCGCATATTTATTGTACATTTTAGAGGAATTGAAATCGGTTTGGGTTTTTGACGTTTTAGATCAAAAAGGCGTGCACAATTTGTAACTACTTAGGAGGGTCAAATTTTAGTTTTGTAAAATTATCAAATCGTTGGTCATTTAACAGGGTTTATGGAATCTAATGAATTATAAAACGATACATTTTTAATAATAAAAATGTGCATGTATAAGTTTCAGCAAGAAACTGGTTTTTAAATTGATAATTCCTGTCCACTAACGCTCGATTATATTATATTTGATTTGATTTGCATGTATATTAATACCTACATAAGGTATTAATAGTACTCAACGTAGATTAATACTTTTTCCTACCTTGTAAACCATAAGACAATTGTATAGGTTTAAAACAACATTAATCGATGCTCGACAAAAAGCTGGATAATATTGCTATAATTATAAAAAAAAAAAATTAGTAATTATATTTATTGTATTTTGTAGTAAACAATTCTATTAATGGCGACCAGTCGGGTAGGTACATATAGATAAATGGAATACTCAGTATATAATACATAGGTAAATATCCATTAAACTACTGTGCGACTTGTACCGAATATGGTATTTTATCAATGTGTCAATTTGAAGGCAATCGAGTGTAGGAAATACTGCACAGACAACGTAATATGCCTAAGCCTGTACAGTTGAGTACCTAGGTATAGTTATAAGCAAAGGAATGTAAATAGGTAATAAACAATATTTGAATATGTTCCAAACTCGTTTGACCTAAGACTTACATCGGTTCAATGAAAAATATTATTGTTGAATTCCTATTTGATAAATGACACGTTGAACACGATCGAGACCTTCGTTCAAGATCATATTACTATACCGTATGTGCAATGCTAGTCTCGCCGTGTGTACTTACCTATCTAATTATCCCTTAAGCCATTCAACACATCTATTAAGTACATACCATAAAACGAAAAGCACAGGGTCCTTAATAATAGCATTTGTGTAGCTGTATGGGTAAATATTTTTTTTTTTTAGCCACCTTACTGTCGAGTGTCCAATCGAAAAGATGTTTGCCATATTGTAGAGAGAGAGAGAGAGAGAGAGAGGTTTTAATTACACAAGTTACAATTATACCCAATTGTTTTTTGATGGAATGCTTAAACGTGTGCAATGTGTGACAGTTGTATCAGAAAGTTTCTTGGTAAGTTGGAGGGACTTTACTTTTACAAAACTTCTCAATTCGAATACGTTGGTTGTTACTTGTTTTTTAATTTACGGCCAAACGATTGCGAGCTAGCTTAAAAGATAAACAAAAAAAAGTCGTGGATATTTTAGAATTATTGCGCCATTAACAATGCTTCTTTTTTTTACATTTGTATAATGTTTAATATTTATTTTATTAATTATTATCAAATTACAATAACTTCTATAGTCAAACCAAAGGTACAATAAAACACACTACTATTGTACAATTATGTGACTTATTAAGGTCCACGTTTTAATATATTATATTTTGGTCCGCGTACAATTATTTTTCAATGTATACAATCCTACTTTATGGTAATGTCCATCTTTGTTTTCTTTTAATCAATTTGGGGGAACTGTTTATCACATGACTTCCTCTGATTAGCTTTTTTTAACAAGACAAGACACATCTCTATCAGTTGGATATTTGTACTTGTACTTTTATCGATAAAACGCATATAAATCAACTGTAATTCACCAAGGATAACAATTAGCAGTCAGAGTTCTACAAGTATAAAATTAAACATTTTAACATAAGATTATACAATTTTATTTTGCACATTTAAAAATATTTCTTGTATATCGATAGTATTAAAATTACAATATATAATAATTATTCAAAATTAGTATTTATATATTTTGACAAAGAAATAATTTCGCTTTTTTTGGAAAAAAAATCAGTTCATATGGTTCTTTTTTTTGAAATGTATACAGTTTGTAGATAAAATTCACATAGGCATAAACTATCAAAAACTGTGAATACAACAAAAATCGAAAAATTCAAGTATTATCACTAATACCATTTTTGAAATAGTTAGTTACTATGTAGATTCGAGATGATAAATTATATTATATATATTACAACATCACTTGTATTAGGCACATGATCGATTTATTTGACTAGTTATTGAATAAATATAATTAAAAATTAAAAATTAAATAATACATTTCTTTATTGTTAGTAAAGGGTTTGGAACAAAACTTGTAGGTAATTAACTCAGACTTATACATTTTAATCAAATAATACAAATGAACACAATATAAATTAATTAATAAATAAAAATAAATTGAACTAAATATTATAACATAAACTGAAACAAGAGAGCATAATAAAATGTACATCACACAAACATTTTCAACATGGGTATCACAATATTAACTCTGTCAGAATTACCGAGTATAAACTAAACAAAAAGTTATCAAAATAAAAATAAAATATGTATACTTATATTTTTTGTCTTTAAGTTTTTTATGTCGTGAGCAATAAAACAAATTGGATATCAGTTCCTACACTAGGTTTGGTAACGGTTATTTATTAATATCATACAGTTACAAATGTGTACTATAAAGGCGGAAAAACTATAAATTAATTTTTCAAGTTTTTTTTTATAATAACAAAATTAACTTTAAATTCAATAAACATCGAAAACTATTGTTGAAAAATTCTTGTTGTTTGTAATAATCGAATATCAATCTAATTAATGCTAATTTATACTGTTGGGTTATTTATTATAATATATACTACTCATATCAATACAGAAACACATTAATTTATTGACTTGTTGAATAAAACTCATTCTATTTTATGATATCAGTGCTTGTTCTAAATTAATAAGTAGTCATTGAAGTAGTGAAATATTTGTTAAGACTAGAAATGTATCGACAAAGCGTTTATAGGATATTAATTGTTTTAAATTACAATTAGTAAATGTTTAGAAAATTAGTATTTTTAGCACTAGTATGACATTTGCCATATGTTGAACTAAGATATCAGTTGTCTATACAATTATTTAGACAAGATTATATTTCGTTGGGTTAGTTAATAGTTTTTTAAAATATAATAACAATAGAAACACACACTGTTATTATCTTTATGGGTGTAAAAATAAATTCATAATAATCCGTACGACAATTTCCAAAAATATTCCTATGTCCACGCTTCTCTTTTTAATAATACTTTACGGTTAGAAAGTTAATTCAAGAGTCTATAAAAATCTAAGTTTATAAAAAGAAGGGTATTGTCAAGATCGGTGAAATAAACACTGAGCATTAAAACGAAATCCAGTAAGACCGTTTAAAATATGTTTTAACGCTAGCTATTGTTTTGATTAATTAATAATTAAAAAAATTGTTATTTTTTTTTAACCAAAACCTACAGTCTTACAATAATTCACTTGAGGTTTACAAGGTAGACGGCGAGTTTAAATCGTATCAGTTTAAATGTGAATTTAACACTTGCAGACTAGAAGACAATGCCAATGAAATAAATAATTACTATGTGGGGATAGAAACAAATTTCACTGGGTACGTTTATGAATATAAGATAAAACTAGGTCTTACTCTTGTTCATCTTGTATCTGAGGTATCCCCAGTGCTAGAAACTGTCATTTTAACAGCATCCTACGCTGATGTTTACAGTCTTCAATGGCAAACCTAATAATAACATTAAAAATAATCCTTAGTTTTAAGATTAAATTAAAAAAAAATTGTAAATAAATCGTTTCTTACTTGTACATAAAATAAGCATTTGGAGCGGTGGCCAAGTGCCACAGCGAATGGGCGTCGAACGTCCATAGCAGCGGAGGAAAGTCTGCCAGCTCTAACAGTGAAGCCAAAGTCATGCCGAGTACGTAAAATATTAAATATTTCCCATGGCCCATCCTTCGTCGATTCAATAGGGCCCATATTAGCATAGCTGAGCCAGTTACAACACCTGCACGATTGTATTTCCACTTTAATACCGTGACAATTGCAACACAATTATAGTTTTACATACCGACAAGGAGATTTGTAGTCATGTTGTACTTATAATCATACTCTGTGGTGAGCAGATATAAAGAATGGTAGATAAACGCCATTGAGCATATTAACGTGAACATACTCTTGACGATCTGCTTACTGAATAAAAGAATACGATGTCCAATCGTGTAGAAGGCAAACAAAACCATGGCGTATGCACTGATGTAATCCATTAATTCAGTAAACATGGTATCTCGGCCATGGAATACGGCCGACCAAACCCAACAATTAGCTGATACCTGTAAACATAATCATTAATCAAAGATAAAAAAATAACAGTTATGAGTTTTAAAAACATTTTAGCATTGAGCAAAACATTTTAATGAACTAATAATAGGTAGCTTTTTTTTTTTTTTAAAAATGAAAAAATTGTGTATTTTTTACGTACTATAACATTCAATTATTATCATTTAATTTATGCACTACAATTTTTAATATAATAGCTCATCATTTATTTTCATATTTTGAACAGTTCTTATTATAAGTTCTTTTGCTTCGGTCAGTCTTGTCTATCTTTCAAACTTCCCAATCGTTTTAAACCAACATACTCTGCTCGGTGAATTAAATATGTACTGTTCATGCATTATTAGTTTGTTATAGTAAATAGGCAAAAAATATACTTAGAAAAAAAAAAAGCAACAGCGTGTATGTGATTATATTTTAGGGCGAATACAAAAAAACGTCTGCGTATAGTGCTGAACTTTAAACAACGCGACAACATCTCGGCGAGTGTTTTTGTATTGTGAATACCAAGTAGTTATTTTTAATTACTTGTTGATTATATGAGTCCGCCATAGTTTCACGCAATATCTAAGATAGTAAATTGTCCCGAGTACAACGATATTGTAATTATTTAGTCAGAGATCAATAATCTACCAATAAATAATAATATAATCTATTTGATCTTTATTTTCTTCGAGAAACTGTCTTTTAGGTCTGATAATTACAAACCATTAATCAAATTTAATGTTTATGTCCTAAGAATAAAAATAGATACAAATTCATGAATTATGCATACCAATGTGTATAGCGACCATATGTTGAACGATGGCAGCGTAAAACGTACTTCTTCTTTGAAACGGTTAAACATAACAAGATTCGTAAACAGGTTCAATAAGGAAAACGCTACAGATGCAGGCTCCTGCAGTCCAAGTAGTCTTTTAAACGGCCACTGTAACATAATTTCAATTTTCAGTAGTACTTATCCACAATACGCTTAATGTGTTTTGCAAATTCTGTTATCAATACCTTTCCATGGAACTGCGGCACCGGCCAGTCGTGTTCAACTAAACCTTCTACCATTGGCCACATACAGTCATACTTACAGTTTTCTGAACATTTCCATTTGAAGAAATCTATTATGGGATTACAACAGTTCCTTTTATACCGCACGCCATCTGAAAACCGATGGTCAATTTATGAAGTAATGGTTCGATGTGGAAATATTCCACGATTCACTTACCTTTGTCACATCTTTTCTCGATACACTCCAAAACGCAGTTTTTGTACGATGGAAAACTGTCTCCGAGAGAACCGTACACTTCAACATATGACAACCCAAAAATGATTAAGAATATCGCCAAATACTGAATCATTCTTTAATGTCGTCGCAGTTGAGTGTATTATAATGTTATCGGGTGATTCATTGTTAATAACTAATTAAAGTGATAGTTATTTGTATTCAAAAACATGGTTTATTGAAAATGTTTTTTATGAACAAACTATATCAAACTAGGTTGAAAATTGGAAAAATCTAGAGCAACTCGCAACTTGGAAGTTGCGAATTACAAATCACTAATTAGCGACTATTTGTTATCACTTATCAATGTAAGAAGACTAAAACATTCAATAATGATAAGAAAGTTTAACAGAGAGTCAATAAATTGATAACAACACTATTTTTTTATAAATCATAATCCATACATTATATTATAAAATATAAATTAATTCGTTATTGAATATTGATAGACATTTATAACCACCACAAACTGTTGCTTAGCTCAGGAAAAAACTACTAATGTTTTGAAATTTATATTCTAAAACTATATAATAAATTTGAAGGTATAAAAAATTAATTGATTATGTATCTATTAGTAGGTGATAAATTTACCTTATATTTTACTAAGCTATTTCTATTCATATTGATTTACTTTTACTTGGAATATTATTGATTTAAAATAATTGGGGGTAAAAAACAATCAAGACATTATTAGGACTAAAAATATTTGTATATTTTATTCAGTTGTAACTATTGTAAGTATGATGATGTAAGTCACAAAAATAGTAAATAATATGAACATCCACAAATTATCAATAGTAATTATTTATAATAGCGAATCCCTCACTTCTTAATCATTTAAATAATAAATGTATTATTTACAAACAAAAATGTTGCACATTACATTATTCTTTATATTGATTAAAAAAAAATAAGTAGAACGTATTTATGCGTTCCAGTCAATAGTTTTGTTGTCATTTTTTATTTTATAATGTAAAAAAATAGTAATAATCTTTTTTTTTTTATTTAATGAAATTACTAATAATCCGCTGCATTGTCGGCCAAATAATCTCGCCGGCCAATATTGGAAGCCTGTTTGGTTTGTATTGCTTCTAGCTTTGGACAATCTGTAATTCTGTGACCCAAACCACCACAATAGCTGCAACCTCTTTCATCTGAGACAAAAATATATAAGCCTTACTATTTATTTTTGAATGAAACAATTATACATTCTGAAATAAAACTAGCCATTACCTCCAAGTTGCAAGTATTTTTCATTTTCTGATTCTAATTCCGCTAAGAATAATGGCACAGTCTGTCGAGCTTCGATTAATAAATGTTTTAAGTCAAGTAGAACAGACTCATCATTTCCTTTATTAATAAACGTTGTGGCTATTCCTCTCTTACCAGAACGACCCGTACGACCAATTCTGTGCACTAAAATATTAATATCGGAAACAGTTTTCAAAGTTTCAACAGAAAATTTATCAAACGTTATTTTATTATAATTACCATAATTCTCAACATCGTCGGGCATATCGTAATTAATTACATGCTGTATATCTGCAAAATCCAAACCTTTAGAAGCGACGTCTGTCGCAACCAGCACGTCTTTTTGGCCTTTCCTGAATGCCTCGACCGATTTTGAACGTTCTTCTTGATCTATGTATTTGTTTTTGTGTAAAAAAAAGAAATTTCCTAAAATCAAAAACATAAATACTACTGTACCTTTTCCTCCATGAATGGCTACAGCTTCAACTCCTTTGAGCAATAAGTATTCATGTATAGCGTCGACGTCTTGTTTCTTTTCGGCAAAAATTAAAACTGGCGGCATTGTCTTTTTCAGACATTCCAAAAGGTAAACCACTTTAGCTTCTTGTTTCACATACTCGACTTCCTTTAAATGTCATTAGATTTTTTTTTTTTTATGACTATTTAGGTATATTTGAATGTATAAAAATAGTGTATGCATACTTGAATGACATTCATAGAAGCCGCACCAGCTCTGCCGACGTTGATAGAGATTGGTTTGACGAGGGCTGACCGAGCAAAATTTTGAATTTTTTTCGGCATAGTGGCGGAGAACAAAAGAGTTTGTCTTTGACCCTAGTGTGAAAAACAAAAAAAAAATTTTAAGATGCAGGTAATGTACAGATAATTTGTTAGCGCCAAACTAGAAACTCACTTGGAAGAACGAAAATATAGTTCTGACATCTTCTTCGAAACCCATGTCGATCATACGATCAGCTTCGTCCATACACAAATACCTAATATTGTACAGTTTCATTGTTAAAACATAGTTTGTTACGTGTATTAAAAAATTATAAGCTAAATTGGCCCTAGTCGTTGCTCAAAAACATGTCTACTGATTTTTGAAGAAAAAAAACACTGCAGTCTGTGTCAGTTCAATTTGAAAAATTTTAATTCTATGTGTGCAGTAATAAACGTTTCAATAATAGATAATATTGAATTTTTGGCTTTATCATTTGACAAGGCCAACATTTATTAAAACCACATTTTCTCAATTATTGTCTACATTTTGCCTTTTAAATAAATGAGCTATGACCGGGGCTATTACATTTCTTTTATTTTGACATACCTGCATACGTCCAAGTTAATCATTTTTTTATCTAACATGTCCATAAGTCTACCAGGTGTTGCAACCATTATATGCACTCCCCTGTATCAAATAAAACAAACAACATTTATTAAAACACAAAGTTATATAATATTCTATTTCAACACATACCTTTTGATAACGTCCAGGGATTCGAAAACAGGAACGCCACCAATTGCCAAACAAGATCTGAGTTTAGGAAAGTTTGCTCTTTGTAGATGCGTGATGTAATGATTAATTATATCAAATGTCTGTTTAGCCAATTCTCTCGACGGACATATAATAAGTCCTAATGATAAAATTGAAAACAATGTAACCATAATTATTATTTAATTTTATAATTAGTACTTTAATATTTTATTACCGTAAGGTCCTTCATTGGGTTTAAAAGGTAATTTTATTTCTTGTTCAAGACAGAACATCAAAAGAGGCAAGACGAAAACTAATGTTTTACCGCTTCCCGTGAATGCTATACCTATCATATCCCGTCCAGATAACCTGTAACACAACATTGGCCAGTTCACTAATTATTGTACATTTAGTAGTTTTGTAGTGTAAAAATATGTTATATACGTACACTGTAGGTATTCCTTGGATTTGAATCGGTGTTGGTTTCTTAATACCTTTTTCTACCAGACCTGCTAATATACCTCTATTGAATTTCATTTCTTTAAAAAATTTAAGTGGAGGTGGTATGTCTTCGCCCTCGACTAAAATGTGTAATTTACGACGTACTTGTTCATGTCGGTCTTCCGTCATTGCTAATATGTATCGAGGAGGTTTCCAGCTAAAAGTATTGTAAATATAATTCCAGTAAATGATGGTGTTTATGTTAACGAACTAAAATAAGTTCATTACTTACCTAGTTTTAATAGGATCATCATATTGTATACCCTTGGCTAATTCAGCAACACCCATAAGTGCTTTCTTTTCAGCGACACTTTCTAAAATTTTTTCTTCTTCTTTGAGTTGTTTTTCCATTTCGCTTTCTTTTTTAGCTAAAATTACAAAATATTAACAAACTATTATTATTATTATTAAATTTAATTTATTAATAGTTACAGTAGTTTAACTTGATGACTACAAAAAGCATTTCCCGAATAAACAGTGCTATTTTACAAATAAACAGAACATGTTTACAGTTTTGGCCATCGAGGGTTAAAAAATCATTATAGTTTTTTACAATTTAATAGATTAAAAGTGTATTATATATTTTGCATTTTTGTAGGATCGTTATCATTTGAAATAGTATACTATTTAGAATTTGATGACATTTTTATAATGTTTAATTATATTACCTTCAGCAAGTTTTTTGAGTTCAGTGTGCTGATCCAAGAGACTGATATTAGATTTTCGACCCCAGACTTGTCCTTCGCCATCTTCTTCGTCAAATTCATCACTCGAAGATTTTACTTTCTTATTCGACTCTTCTTTAAGCTTAAAACACAATCATAGCAATAAAATATGAATTTTTTAGAAGAAAATATCTGTTTACCTTAGATAATCGGCCCAATCTCAATAGTTCCTGTTTTTTACGCTCCCTAACAGGTACATATGGCACATAATCATCGTCTGAGTTTGATTCATCATCATCTCTTCGATACCGCTAATATGAATTAGATAAAAATATAATGATTAATTTTAGTGTGTTTATAACGTATTATATAGATAAAAAAGTAGATATCTAACTTGTAATGAATAAAAACAATTTTTTTTACCTTATGCGGTACTTTAAATTCAGCCATTTTCAGAAAATGATAGTGAACATTTTAATATTATTATAGCTGCTAGGAAACCAATGAAATTAAATCTTTTCTAGTAACACAATGAAAATGATAACTCACAAGAATAAATGTTTTAGTAGAAATTAGGGAAAATGTTTGACATAACAATTTATGTTATTGAGATTTTGTGTTATATAGTATCGAACGTTCACTCTGAAGATAACGATTTGAACAACAATAATTTTGATGTGATAACAGTTATTTAGTAGATAATTGATAAGATCTCACAATTTTGTGTTGTTATCAAATTACAGTTTATTTTTTTTTAAACAAATTTTGATACAACATATTTTTAGGTGTGCGACTTGTTTTAATAGGTAGTATTTTATAATTTTAAAGATATTCAACAAAGTACTTTTAAAAATATATTTGCTTAAAAAGGATCTCTTTTTTTTCAAATAAAATAAAATTTTTTTTTTTTTTGGTGTAGGTACATTGTAGATCTTGATTTTTTTTATTATAGCTCATACTTAAATTACGTATATTAAATTTTAATAATAATGTTGTATTTTAGGTGCGTAACGGAAATGAAATGATAAGGTGCATTTGAGCAATAAATTGAATTCTCCAGTGTGTACAATATTGTACCATGATATATGACATATGTTATTAAAATATCTTTATTATTATTCTATTATTACTATTCACAATGATCTGGTTATATTACAATTAAATTTGTTTATTGAAACCGAAGTAACAGTTATATAGACGGGTTTCTGAACTATTTATGCCTGAACAAATCTCATTAGACCAATTGATAGAAATATGGAGTGTTCCCTAAGATTGAATTTTTAAATTCAAAACTAAATTTTAAAGACTATTATCTTACCTGCGACTTTTATATTGTTAAAAACAAAAACTGATGAAATTTAAAAAAAATACTCTTTACTACATTTATGATTACAAATAAGAATTAAAATCGCTTAGGTACAAAAAAAAATGTTTTCATAAAAATCAAATATTGTTAATATAGTTGAAATAATAATTAATAAACCTGTGTTTTTTAAATAACCACGAAATACAAAAAGAAAAAGTAAGTAATCCCACCAACAAATGACAACTTGTAAACTACCTACTCGCAACTTGTCGTCGACTTTATTTCAAATTCCGTTAGCGTCTACAACAAAACAAAATATGTATAACAGTATATACAATAATAAGAAATAACAATATTATTATTATTATTACAGTACACTCACACATAATAGTGTTATGGTCATACGGTTTCTATGCCACAAAACGAATGCTGTAATTCGACAGACTTATTGGTTTTTAGCGCCTGTCACGGAGCGAAGCTTGCGGATGGCACGTTGTGAAATTGCGATCAAAACGGATGTTAAAGCTTTAAAAAGTGTACTTATCAAGTACAGAGGTGTATACGTGTATCGTGTGTATGGTTATTAAATCCGCAGAGGGAATGTTTTAATATCATGGAAACAATATTCAGTATTGACAATATGTAAGTGCACGTGTTCAAAAGCCTAAACGGAAATCTTTTAAACTATTTATCCAGTCGGAGGCGCCAAAGTCTAACCAAACCATTTATGACATTTGATATTTTGAAAACGCTTTATTATGGCCCACGATTCTTCAGCTTTTGAATAGATTGGTCATTAACCAAAATCCGAAGATGCCTCCTTTTATACAAAGATAAATTTACAAAAAAAAAAAAAAAAATGAGAGCCGAAGGCGGATATTTTTGTAATAGTTTATCATTTTCTTAAGGAAGTAGTAAGCGAAAGTAAATTAAAAAAAATATGAAATATTACTCATAGCGATAATTTACTTAAGTAATATTTTATAATGATTGCCACAGTATTACAAATTTAAATATTGTTAAAATATGTTTGTTCGTCGCGTATTTTAGCTGGAAATCAAATATCAAAAACACAAATGGTTCAACAATATTTTTAATAGACCAATTTTAAATAGAATTGTTTTAAATATTTAAGACATATGTCTTAGTAAAAATATTTTACAAAATGTATAAAATCAATACTTTTAAATAACATGAAAAATATTGAATATGTTATGAGTATGCGTTTAAACAAATAAAGTTTTTATAGTTAAAATATTTAAATAACATTTGATTCTCTTAAAAAATATTAGCTAAAAATAAATTGACAATATTGGCAATTATTATTAAAATATTTAACTGCTGTGTGAGGTATGTGGAGTATAATCGATTTGTGGGATAATTTATAATCGATTATCGCGACTGGTCTGCGCAGGATTATTTCTAGAATTTTTTATTTGTCTAGAAAACAACATTTTAAATACGATATAATGTAAATATTTTTTTATGTACCTTCATTTGACACTAATAACGTCAGCACCGAGCGATAAGCTTTTTTACAAAACGTTATTGTGACACGTAGAAGAGGCGCTTTACGTTTGAACGGGCGGCGACACTTATTCGTCCGGTTCGTTCATTCACATACATACGTTGCTAATATGTCATATCTATATCTCGGCCGTTTGTCCACAATATATTTGGCATAGGATATAATACAAATTATATTATATAGCTAGATAGGTACATAAATATATGTATTTTTTCAAACCAGCCATTTCAATTATAGGTATTAGAAGTAGAGCTTCTTTACCTATATAACCATGTCCAACGATCGGTTCGAAGACATTGCTTCTTTGCCAATTTCACACAACGCGACTGATTACGGTACACTACCCGTGTAATAGAATAGGATTGGTCAAGAGTACTTTTATTAATATTTTTTTTTTTTTTTGTAAATAATTTATTGAAAGAAAGGATTAAACGATATCGTTGTATAGAAACCGCATAGATAGTATAACACGTGTGCCAATAGAGTCCGAATAATTGTCTGTAGAATTATTAATAGGAATCGTGCTCGCAAAACACATCACAAAAACGTTCACACACATCAATGCTACAATCATAATCTCTTTTTGCTGTACGGATAATATTATTCCAATTAAATAAAACCATATATACTACATATATGATCGGTTAATCCGTGAACAGAGGCCCGGCCATGGCTAAACATTAATACCCTGAACTATAGACTATACACGTGCGTTTGTACACACGATACATGCGAAATGTTTATGATATAATAATATTGTGTTAAAAAAGAGCACTCTCGGATTTAGTGTTTATTTTGCAAATTTGAATTTTCCCATAAACGCCATTTTTTTTATTTACTGCTAGTATTCACATTTTTAAAATAAAAAAATATCTACGTATGAGAAATATCTCGCATTTGTATAAAAAACATATATAATAGAGGTATTATATTAAGTGCCCCCATACCAAGGGATACATTTGTACATACTTTTCCAGATATTTTTAATTGCTAAAGCCCTCCCTCCCCGAATAAGCAAAGCTTGTGCAAATAATTTTAATAAAAATTAATCGTTCTGCGTTAATAGGCCTAAAAACAAGTCAACATTATATTTGCATCCAAGTTTTTTTTAAAGATTTTTATGTTTATCAATAGAGATTTCAGACCTTACTAACCCTTATTCAAAAAACTTGTCGCCGCAAAGTCGCCGTTACTCAATATTAAGAAATCAACCATCCGTAAGTAATTTTACTGTTGAAAAAAAAATTATATTTAAACAAATTTTCAACATTTTAATACTTATTTTGTTGAAAATGAAACATACCTAAAATATATTTACAATACCTGAATAGCGAAACGAATGAAACAGATTTCTACCTTTGTCCATTTGTTGGAAAATGAAAATAGTAGCAATTTACCATGAAGTTAAACAAAGTTTGATAGATCCGAAAAATTCGTGCGTGTACTCATTGTGCATTTCAACTATTTGGACGTGTCAAGAATTTATTAGAACTTACTTGTCATTTGTGAAGCGCCACGGGATACACTTTCATAACCTTTACAAGTAAACTCAATCAAATGATCGGCTTATGCGGTGACCTTTTATTATTATAATTATAATTAAAAGTTGTCGAATTTGCTAATCAATTGGAGGCGGAAGCTTTCAATAAAATGTTTGACACAGTCGAACATAAATCGCTCATTTTAGAGAAGTTATACATTTTTCGTACGCTCTTGTGTTATAGTCAAAGTTTTTTTTTTGTAAAAATGGGAGATCACAACAGATTTATAGAGCTGACACAAAAATCAAATCAGGTTAGGTAAATAAAGTAATTTTTTTTTTGGCTTCTTTTAATACTTATAAAATAAATGTTATATTATTTGTCTTATTTTTCGATTTATAATATCTCTTGGGCTTTTAACAAAATAAACATATCGATGATATTTAAATTAAATAATTGTCAGTAGATATTATTTATTGTACCCAACGTCCCTTATTTTTACATTAAGTATATTCCCGTCAATTAAACAGTAATTGAAAACTAATAACCGAAACACCAATTTTATTATCGGGTTATAATATACTTAATAAAATTGACCATTTATTACGCCGTCACTACTGGTACGGTCAACAGTAGTCACAACAACTTGTAGGTAACCTACACAAGACAGAACATAATATTATCAAACAATCTACTGATATAGTAAAATAATAATTGAAGTTTTCCAATTTTCATCATAGTAGTAGTAGAAGTATTATTTTTACGGCTTCATTGATTATCATATGTCTAAATAACGTCATCTTATTAATATGTAATATCATTATCGTTTCCCATGGTAACATAATATTATGATACATTTTTTTTTCAATTAGCACATCCAATTAAAACGCCAGACACGTATTAATTCGGTTAAAACGTTATCAATCAATTACCGGCGAACGATAATCATCATCATCATCGTTATTATTAATATAAATCGATTTGTCGTTGCCGGTGTAACTTATGGTAACAATCGAATTAGATAAACACACAGACCATTGCACGTGATGTGGCACTCGAGCTGTACTAACGGTTGACAAATCGCTGTGGTTAGTTTAAAAGGCAAACAAATAAAAATGAAAACACATAATAAAAGTATTTCGGGCGAATTTTGGAGTACTTCCAGATAGAATAATGCCGGAAGTGGAACGCAAAAAGGAGCATTACCAGTTCATATTTTATATACAGCGATAAATAGAAACAGCACGAGTACTCGAACTGTATTTACTTATCTTTTCACATGGTACCCAAATACTCAAGAGGTCGTCCAGGATAGGATATGTAAT